GCTTTAAAATAGCTCCATGGCATCACACACAACAGAGTAGCCCTCTGAGACCTTCCATGCAGCATGTGAAGTGCCCCATGAATTCACTCTTGAATGGGGAAAAAAAATCAAGAACTGCTCATCCTTAATATAGTTATTTACACAATCAGAACAGCAGAAATGGAGGCAGATTTGGGGGGTGGGGGAAGATTCCTGGGTTAGGATATGCATACAGGCCCTGTTTAAAATTCCACTTCATAGGCATCCTTAGTTTGAACTGTGCAAAGATATGTCCTGACAAGGCGATTGTACAAAAGTCCTCGAAGAAATAGATGGTCATAATCAAGATCAGTGCCATGTCTGGGTCAGCAATTCAGTGAGCAAGAACTTCAGCTAACATCAATGCAATCTGGGGAAATCATCATTCATTTGTCATGGAGGTAAGAAGCTGCCTACACAAGCGCCGTTCTGTAAAAGCAAAACCCGTCCACTTTTCTGCCTGTGTTGCACAAGGATCAAAAAAGATTAATGCCCTGCCTCGACACCCTCCCAGAATGTGGGAGAGCTCATTCCAGTGCTGACAAAGCTGAACCTCAGGGTTAAGACATGCAGATGACTTCGTTAATGGTGAATAATCACTGGATAAAACATTGTTCTCCACTTTTGTGATCTGGTCACCCGCCATGCACTTTCCAGTTCTCTAGAGTGCACACATTTTCTGATAGTGATCAGACTCAGGAATCCCCATATTTAGGCAACACTTGGCTTGGCTCGCACCTTTTGCAGAAGGAAATCTGAAAGACTTTGATTTTTCCTCGGACATGGGGTCTGGAGGTGAGGGGAGCACATCACTGGGAGTTTGTCTTTTCTGTGATTGGAGTTGGATTGTCTTCAGCCACCATAACTGCATTGATTTTTCTTATTGTGTCTCTTTTGGTTTTAAACTTATGTTTACCTCCCAGAGTCGCAATTATGAGATGGGTGGCTTTATAAATTGCTTCAATAAATAAGAAATGTACTATTGGTTTTGTAAAAGCTCAACTCATCCCATGATGGGCTAGTTGTCTAGCTGTATGGAACAAGTAGGATTTTTTCTTTCTTTTACGGCTCCCTGACAGCAATCTATTCCAGGCTACATCCAAATTTCATTCCATCCATCCTCCCCTGATGCTGTTCAATATATAGACTATATTACAACTATCTCCAGGGGTACCAAGTGCAGAGCGGCAGATATTTTGGAGTTCATCCCCCATCAATGGGGTCAGAGATTATGAAAATTATAATCCGAAACATCTGGAGGGCACCAGAGTTACCTAGCTTTGGATTAAACTATGCAGCAATGCTCTCCACAAAATTGGGAGAAAACACCTTACATTATAAAATCTCCCCTCTCGCACTATTTGAAATTTGAGGTTTCAAAACACGGTAGTAAGGACTGTGTTCTTTGCATAACCAGGGGAATTGGCTTTTTTTGAAAAGCATGAAGACCTCCCCAAAGGGGGTCAAGGAGAGGGTTACTGGGAAAAAGATCAATTTCTACACCCCAGGTCCTTTTAAGCTGGTGGAAATCTTTCAAAAATGCTTTTCTTACAGCTACACTCAATTAACAAATGGTGTGTCCAAGATTTAGCCTACAGATCTGATGGTTGGGAAGTTAGATCTGAGGGTTCTCATGTTTTGTTAAGCAAATGGTCATGTTCTGTTAATTTTTACACCATCATTCCTGCAGCTCTTTAAATATTTGGAAGCAAAAAAGGCCAGTGGGACACACTTATTATTCATCTTAGCAGCCAGCCACACTCCCAGCTTTCTACAATGCAAAGTCCTTTTTGAATTTTGCCTAAGAGAACCTTTCTACGGACTTACCCCCCTGCCCATCAAAGGAATTTTGGCATAGATTTTCTACTCACACATAGGGATCCAATTCCATTTAATTCAGGGTTTTTTTAGCATAAAAATTACCAACATTAGAAAGCAGCTAAGAATAGGAGAATATAAAAGGTTGAAGGCAGGAAAAAGCAAAACTGACAGAGCCATTGATCAAAATAAAGGGTTTTGAATGCTTAGCTTTTCAAAGTTTGGAGTCGAATCCCTCTGAGTTGAATCCCTGTGTACTCCAATATATTAGTGGTGCTAATTAGGGTTCTCACCATTATTTTTCTAAAACGAGTCATTTTAACACTTACACAAGTGCTATCAACACATATATCAGCTTGTCTCCCTTGTTGGGAATAGCTGTACCTATGAAGCTGGCGAGTGACCACGGGAGAATTCTGTATGTTTTGGTTGTGATAGGAACACACTAACTTTGAAAACTTCTGCACAAATAGGAAAGGGTCCAGTCAAAAATTATCAAAGGCAAGAAAAAAGCAAAATGGCAGCTTTGTCCACTGTGACTTGCTGCCTACATGTGCCTTTTAAGATAATCACAGGTTTGACATCACATGCAACCAGTGATGTCTCAGGACAATGCCTGTTTTCCGGATAAGGCCCCAGACGATGGAAAATTCTTTTTGACTCTACACTCCGGGGTTGTGGTTGAGCTGTCAAGACAAGATATGCTGTTGCTGCTTCTCCTTCTCTTTCTTCTTCTCCTTCTCCTTCTGAGTAAACATGCTACTGTGAAATTTTGGCTCTTTTGGCTATTTAAAAATTCATGTTTATTCCTGCTATTTGTTGATTTGCAGTGTTACACCTACCGTTCAGTTGGAAGGCAGTTGGAATTATTTTAATGAACAAGGCAGTTGGAGGGAGAACGAAGTAGCCCCACCAACCAGCCGACATGGCACAAAAGAGTGAAAGTCAAGAGAGGAGCTTGGCTTGATCATAAATCTCAATATTGATAAGGATTTTAGAGTCAAAGCCATTTGTAAAAATCAAATTGTGCTTTTACAAAAGCTAGACCAACATTATTGTAGGTCATTGTTAAGGATCGAATTAAACATTGAAGAAGAGAATGCAATCAAATGGATCAAACCTTTACTTGGTAAGAGTACTTACGCTGTCTGCCATACTGCTGAAATACATGTTGCACAAACATAAATTGTGTTTTATTGTTCAATTTTTTTCTTCTTCCCACTACATTCTCCATGTAATGGGAAATTTTCAGCACACTTCTCCTTTCCAATATAGCCTGATAATCTTCCTAGAATTTTGAGATTAGAGGAGGCCAAAGGTGTGCTGGTACCTCTGCCTTACGAATCCTGAACTTTATCTTTGGGATCAAAGTCAGATGCATGCCTCGGTCCTCATGGAAAATACACAGAGGATTTGATTAAGAGTGGGCCTGGTTCACAAACTTTCCTCATTGCAGAGATGATAGCAAGAGTCATTCTTTTAATGCATAAAACAGCAAAGCCTCAGCCGGCTCTAACTAGCTTTTTTCATTCCTTCCCAGATCCACTTTGGGGATAATTAGGCTTAGTGCACAGAAATTGCAGATGAGCTAGTCACATCCTTGCTGGATTTTTGCTATTCAGGCTACTTTGAGAAGAGACAAAATCAACAGTGGCAAGAACTCTTTAACTTGGTTAGTTACCCTATACATGGAATTTTGAGGGAAAGACCCACACCTCAGAAGTAGAAAATCTGGGTTGCATACAAAAGGTTCCATGTTGAACCCCCAACTTTCTTGGAGAGAGGGCTTCTGAAAGGAATGAGAGATGAAGAAAAGCTCTGCCTGAGGCGTTCACCCCAGAGAGTTCTAGCGAATGGGTACTGATCACACCGAGCAAGATGGCAAATGGGCTGGTATAAGACATCTTTTTATATTCTTTTTAAAATGAAGGCGCAGTATGCAAGGGGAGTGGATGCCTTAAGAATGTAAGAGCCATCTTGGTTCAGATTAAAGGCCTATTTAGTCCAGTATTTTGTTCCACAGTGGCCAACCTGAAACCAGTGGGGAACCTGCAACCTATCATTAGTAGAGTAACAACCGTTAGTGTTCCCCAACTGGTAGTCCTAAACATACCATCCCAGACGTTCATAACTACAGGTGGTCCTTGGTTAACAACCATTCATTCAGCAACTGTTTGAACTTGCAATGGCACTGAATTAGTGGTAGTTATGACCGGTCCTCAAAGTTCCAACCATTGCAGTGTCTTGCAGTCACGTGATTGTGATTTGCGACCTTCCCTGCCGGTTTCCCACAAGCAAATCAATAGGTAAGCAGAAAGTCAGAAGTCGCAGTCACGAGGTCCTTGCTTAATGACTCACAGTGATTTGCTTAACAGCTGCAACTGGGAACTGCCAAAACTGCCATTACTAAGTGGCATGGTCACATGACATTGCGCTTTACAACTGCATTACTTAGTGACAGAAATTCTGGTCCCAATACCATCATTAAGGGAGGACTACTTGTAGTAGTCATTATTCATTCATTCATTCATTCATTCATTCATTCATTCATTCATTCACTCATTTATCATATTTATATGGCCACCCATTTCACGAAAAACATTACTCTCGGTGGTGTACAATAAAAACTATAAAACAATGATATTTTTTTTTTAGATTAAAAATTATAGCCTTATCCTCCATGAATGATTCTAGTCTTTCTTTAAAAAATCTTATGGTTACAAATTCCAGAGTTTAATTATGCACCATGCAAGTTCTAGTTTATGAAAACTGTCCACAGAACATAGGCTTGGAGAACCTGTGGCTCTCCATACATTGCATGACTAAAATTCCTAGCAGCCTCAAACAGCACAGTCAGTAGTGAAAGAAGGTGAGGAGGGCCTACACTGGAGAAGCCAAGGATTGAACCTGTGACTTTCCAACTGAACCAATGTGTTTTATTCATTTATGTGGAGGGAATTTAACTCTTTTCCATTGTGATGCTCTGTCAATGAGAGCAGAAGCCACATGCTTGAACACAGGATTCCTGCCCCTTTTGAGATGGGATCTGCTTTCAACATAGGACATTATACATAATGTCTCCTAAAGCATCTATTCTAGGTTGAAGGACAGATCAAGATAAAAAAGGCTCATTTCCTTCCAATTTTCAACTAGAGAACACAGAAAAATCATTAGAGACAAATTCTAAAGAGTATGTTAGTGCACAGCTTTTATTTTATTATTAAGCTTCACTGGTGCCCTCAAATCCAAAGATACCACTGTCTTTTCAGAGTCAACAAATCCTCCAGCTTCATGCATGGGAATCACAATTTTTTAAATTGATGTCTCTACCACATTCAATTTTCATAAAGAAGCCTATCAATAACTAGTACCAGGACAAATGAAGAGGGAACTGATAAATGTTAAAACTACATAAATTCACTATTAGATAAATAAATGTAACGCTGCAGTTCATCTTATGCAAGGCTTAACTGTAAACACAAGCTTAGTTAATTGTTCTAAATATCTGTAATTCTCAAGTAGCATACATATGGAGAATAACAGGCATTTGCTCAGCCAACAAGTAACCATGGTGGTGAGATGGGTATCATTGACTGTCACCTAGGCGATGTGGAGGGAATACGTTTCTTGATTAAATATGCTTTTTTGGTTACATGAAACCAGCTGGACAGATTGTTGCTCTAAGAACTGAAGCTCATCATAATGACTGGTGTCCAAATAGTGGTGAGAAATTAAGCCTTATATGCCAAGAGAAACCCATAGCATCCACCTGGTTCCACCAGCTTCTATTCCAACTGCTTTAGCTAATAGAACAAGGATCTTCTGTATTAGGCTTCAGTTCGCCTTCCAGCAATAAATTCATCACTGCTTTTGTCAAATAGCTGCATGTTCCTCTTTTTCCCAGTGGAGGTGTGTTGTAAAAGGAAGTCATGTCATCCTGCATAAATAGACAGAGTCACAAAGTTGAAGGATAATTTCAGGCTTAAGTAATAATAATAATAAGACACACAGATGGATGGGTGATGAACAGGACACTGCACACCCTCCACGTTCTCCATCTTTTAGTATGAAAAATATTTTGGGTTTGAACCAAAGAGGATGGAGGAATATGGACACCCTGAGAAAAACAGGAGGGAGGATGTGTAACAAGAACAACAATAAAAGAACAGAAACAGAAGCAAAAATACCTGCAGGCATTTCCGGAAAGATCTGTGATGAATTCAGTGAAAATGATTGTCCCAAACACAATGAGTCAGAGATTTTATGTTGCTGTAGAGAGCAGCTTTACTCTGGCAAAGCAGCAATTCATCATTCTCTAGGCCACCAGTGAGTCATACTGTCGCTGGTGTTGGTGAGAGCTTGTCAACTGCAGTTTGTGTTTGGTGCAGAGCAATTGTCCCACTACAAGGGCAAATGCTATTGTGGCTGCACCTGCTACAATGACAACACACCCTCCCCCTGGGCAGGCTGCAGCACCCATGGCTTTCCAGAGTACAGATGGTCTAGCAGAGCTCTCCTAAGCTGGAGAGGAGGAAAGGAAAGCCTTGGAGCAGAGGAAGGAAAGGGAAGAAGGAACAGGCAAGCAGAGATGGAGGAGGATGACAAGCAGGGCAAAGCTTCGGGAAAGGTGGAAAGTGGGAGTGCAGGAAGACAACGCCAGGGAGACTTGACTTTGAGCTGTGCAATTTGGTAGCTACCAGAAGTAATGACAGTGTGATACATTTGTGAGCAATTGTAGATCAAGGACATGTGCAACTGTCCAAAATCTCTGGCCATCTTCAACAGCTTTGGACAACCGGAAGGGAATTTTCTTGGCAACACAAAATTGTTCTTTGGAAGGTTTTGGCTGGGTGAAAGGTAGGGTCAATATGAGATTCTTGAATCAGAGAAGCCTTTGGCAGTTTGGCAATGCTTGCCTTTTTTTTCTTTGTTGCAAGCATAAAAAAACCAAAAGCTCCTATCGGGATGAATTCTGCCAACACCTCCTCAAAAAAGGAATGGAGAGAACAATTCAGTGATCAGGAGTCACGCAGCCATTTGTATCTGAGAACAAGAAACAATATATTTCTTCCTTGATCTTCCCAATAAGGAGCTGTCATTCCTTAATATCTGAACTCTTTGTACAGCAAGAGAGAAAAACCAAATTCCCACAAAATTACAGCATAATCAGATCGATAAATGATGTTGTTTAGAATTTTAGCCAAGCTTTTCTGTCCACTAAAAGAAAACAAGGAAGGCTTCACAAAACCAATTGTTTTTAAATCAAAGCAACAGTTTCTTTGGGTCAACCAGAAAGAAAAATCAGTAAGGAATAACGAAAAGCATGAACTCTGGAATGGAGATTATACTGACTTGTTTTTCAGTGCCCTTGAGTTGATTCTGATCCTTCTGGAATTGATTAAACGATTCTTTCACCAGTTTGTCCAAGTCCACTTTATCCTGAAACTCTAATTCGGGGTTTCTTTCCAGAATCACAGAAACAACCATCAACAACTAAAATGGGATGGGGGTGGTAGAGAAAGGGGAGAAGAAGAAAAATTTCAGATACTCCATGAAGCAAATTGAGAAAATGTACATTACTAGTAGCATCTGTGATTTGTTGGCCAATTCAGATAGTAAACATTTTAAATCCTACAGCTGGCTGCAATAAATAAAATTTCTCAAAATGTAATGTGAAAGAGTTCTTAGAAGAGTACAATTGGGGTAACATGCAGCGCTCAAAAAAGGGAATTGTTTTGCTTCTCTGTCTGCCATATGCCAACTCCAACCATCATCTTCTTAAGTCTTTGAACTAAGAATGGTCATATGAACAACTCCTTCACATGAATGCCTGTTCAAAGGTTCTGTTCGGGAATCTCAGCCACATGGATCTCTTACTTGTGAACTCATACATATGGATTTCTCTCCTGACATTGGCGCACTGCAGGTAGGGCAACTATAAATACATGATGTCATGGATAGTTTTAAGAGCATGCTGTGGCTTTATCAATTTTGTGGAGCCCCACACTCATGTAATGTGTGTAGGCTTAAGTTGAAATGGAAATATACACAGCTACAGATCAGGCTGGATCTATTATGAGTTTGAAATATGGCAACAAAGCTACCATACTTAGTCTCTCTTTCCATGTTCACGTCTTATTTTTCTTAAATTCCCCAATTTAAACTGTTCTGGAAAATGAAGAAACTATACACCTTATTTATGGCTTTACTATGGACAATGTGATTCCTGATGTTTTCATAACCCAAGCAACACAAGAGCGTTTTTATACATACTTAGAACGTATAAGAATATATATGTTCCACATACAGCAGCCACCAATTCGAAAATTTTTGGATTTTTTATTTTGAACGAGGCCTCTCTACCATAGTCACCACCACCTACTTACACATGCTGGATCACAAATAGGCAGTTGGTGAGCTTTTTGGCTAAAGGCACTAGAAAAGAAGTAGGGAGACATGAGTTCTAGTCCTCCCTTAGACATGAAACTAGAGGGATGACTTTGGGACAGACAGGCCTAGATTGGAAGTTGAAGAAATATTCCAAAGGAAGGCATTTCCAAAAATGTTGCTAAAAAAGCTGCATGGATCTGTCCATGGAGTCACCAAGAGTAAAGACTGTCTTGAAGGATCATAACAACAACAACAGAGAGGTTGTCTTGAGCATTTATACTGGCTTCAGGAGACTTGCTAATATTTTTCCTAACAATGATGTTGGTAGAACAGAGCCTGGTCCTCCTACAGAGATTTGAGGAACTTTATATTTGCTTGAAATCTGTTTACTGCTCAGGTAGTTACACATTCTTTTTTTTAAAGGTGTGAGTTAGATAAAGCATTTAATTAATATTTATCATCATATGGTACAAACCTCTACAATTATTTGCCTGTATTCTGGCTGATCTATACTTCTCAACATGTCCTCAACCAGAAGAGAAAAGTTCATTTCATACATCGTCATGTCAGATAAAGTTGGTTGCTGCAGGAAGAAGGGAAAATGAAGAACCTAAAGTGAATTTCATTAGTGGTACTAGGCAACATCAGAAAGTTAATAGACTTTTATCAAATGGATTATTTGATAATAAATATTGGGCTGAAGTTGAGCATAATTACAGATTAGCATTAATGAAATAAGGAAAAAAACTTATTTGGTGTTTTGTAAACACTTAACAGACCTATACTTGAAAAGAAGCCTATAGCTGCTACAATACAAACTTGTTGAGAACAGTGTTGCATGTACAGCCAACTGCAATATTGTATAAAGCAATCCAGATGCTGTCAAATAATTGTCAGGAATCATGCAATATTGCTTTTCAATGAGATACACTGACTGAGTTTGGTGTCAGGAGTTCTACAGGCTTTCAACTTGGGCATAGGCTGGAACATCTCTCATGTGTGAATGTACCTGATGTTAAGGTGAGGGGGGTTCATCTTACTGAAATGAATGTGATATCATCTGTGCTTCTGGGTTTTTTTCATCTGTTATTGGTTGTAAAATGTTACTGATATTATTGATGTTTCATTGTTATTTTAATATTGTGAAAGGCAAGATACAAACAGATTTACAAAAAAAACCCCAAAAAACCCTGCAACAATTCCTGTTTCCTTAGGGCCTTAGATCATAAACAACCCCCAACTTGGCATTAAAAAAAAAATAAAACAAACTCACAGAGGAAACGCTTTTTAGTGGCAACTCTCCACAAAAACTAAGGAATCTCAGTACCTAGAAGGGCTGTTCCTTTGATTGCTCAGTGATGAAGACAGGTAACTGGGAATTGATATTTTTCATTTTGCTCTGCCTGGAAGCTTTCCCAGACAGATCTGCTTGGCCATAATGTTGGGCTGGACCAACCCTTGTTTTAATCTTTCCCAGGGCTAGGGCAAAGCAAACAGATATAAATCTATGCTCCAGCAATATTAGAGGCCATAGACAGAATCATTATTTTAACTCTGGCTTGTTCCCACTTATCAAAGCTGAAGGAAGTTTATCAATGACATCATCAACCAGTAGTGAAGCTGAACCAATATTTTGAATGGTAAGGAAAACACCACAAGAGATACACACAGCTGGGGACCTCTGTCCTCCACAGTTACTGTGGGTTAGTCTTTGCACCCAATCCTTGCAACTGTATGCTACAGCTCAAAATCCAGCACTCTTATCACTAAGGCAGATGGCCATCCAGCCTACCCTTAAAATAACTCCCTCTGCACCGTTAGCTAGAAAGTGGAATTACGAATCTTAGAAACCAAAAAGGATTCAAACAGGAACATGGCCTGAGCCCCATGGATATGGGCTTACCTGTGGCAAATAATTCCCAGCTACTATTAACCCATTGGGGGTCCTCTCCAAAATTTGCCACACCCTGTCATAGAACCCACTCGGTGTTCGGTTCAAGGAGCCATCAATCTGACGCCTGTTCAGCCAGCACCTATGGAAAAAAAAGCCGAAGCAAAACTGATATTTCCAAATCAAAATAACGTAGGCTTGGATCATTCAGCCAGGTTTTTAAAATCTGTGGGATGCAGAACATTGTACAGAGTGGTGCATTTCATGTAAATATCTGATATATTTATTTTACTTTTTTTTTTAAAGTCTAGATTAATATTACAATTCAAGAGGGCAGTAAAACTTATTTATTTACTCAGGCCTATTTATTGTTTCAGCTGTTTTGACATTTCAATTGTTTTAAATTATATTGTTTTAATAACCTTTAAAGATTCGTTTTAACTGTACTTCTGCTGTTTTGATGATATTTTTGTAAGCCTCCTGAGCTATTGAGGGTGTAGATGGGTGTAAAAATATCCCCCCAAATTAATACAAAGTGCTCAGTTTTAGCAGACATGGTATTTACTGAAGGGCATAAAGATTTTTGATACATTAAATTGCTTTAACTAGGAGAACAAAGGCAATGGGACAAAATTAATCTCTTGGGTCACCACTGAAAGTTAATCTGATGAATGAAGTCAAAGCTTTTCATGGAGAAAAGTTATCTTAGCCTTTTCTATTTTCACACTCTTGTCAAGCCAGAAAAATTAAAGCATAGCTTTTAACTGCACTTAATTTTAGTTGCTGTTATCTTTACAGCATTAGAAGAATAATTTATTTAAGAAATTACTGTCACAAGTTCTGTTTAGTGAATATATAGATGAAATCTCATTTTAAAAGACCAACTGGGAAAAAAATATATCAGTTATTCAGGAATTCCACTGAATTAGAGAATATAAAATTGTGGAGATTTATGTCTTTTGCGCAAAGGACAGAATTGGCATCATTTAAAATCATTTAAAAGTGTCATTAAGGACATGATGTAAATTGACCTAAATGATGTCATGTCAAAGTCTATTGTACTCAGGTCCAGGAAAACAAGGTTTCGTTGTATTCATAAATGCTTCAGCATAAACAGAGCAACCCAAAATAGTGTATCTAAACTAAGGAGGATAATAAAAAGCGTATCCAAAGCCTGGTTAAAATGTACCATCGCTATGGAACCTAAAAAGACATAAAAAGTAGAATGGAAAGATCTTAACTCAGTGACAGAACAAATGTTTTCCTTGCAAAAGATTCCATGTTCAATCTTCTGCATCTCCAGGGAAGGCTGGAAAAGTGATTTGCTTAATGACCGTGGCAAAAAGGTCATAAAATCAGGTGCAACTCACTTAACAACTGTATCATTTAACAATGGATGTTCTGGTCCCAATTGTGGTCATAAGTCGAGGACTACCTATATACACTTCAGAATCACAGCCATAAGGCTAGAGTATTATTCGTCCCCCACACCATATAAGTGCAATACATGCATGAAATATGGCAAGAGGAGACAAGAAATAATGGGAAAGGCAGGATAGAGATTCTTTATTGCTCAGTCTTGTACTAACTACGGCTAGAAATCATAAAAACCAGAACAACTGAATGTTCTCTGACAGGCTTATGGGGAGCAAAGAATGAAAAGTCATTTCTTCATTTTAAATGAACTTATTGTAAACGGAGATATATTATAGGCCTGGACACACATGATGTGAGAAAAAGCTGTCATAACAAAGTCCTACGACATTTTGTTTCTTTAAAAAATAACAGGGGAGAAGCTGTCCTGGATTAGCTGTGATGCACACTGTTTTTCCTACAACAGAATCACTGGGTGCTACTCTGGAAGAAAGTAATCCCACCTCTAGGAGAAATAAATGTTTAGACTGTTTTGCTCAAGAATTCCATCTTCCTAAGTAGTAAATGACTGAAAGTGACTGAGAGAAAAAGAAGTGTGACATTTACCAGTTTCTCACCTTTCTTGGCAGAAAAAAAACACATACAGTTTTATCAATAATAACAAAGCTGGTTGCAAAGAGAAAATTAAGCACTGCCTTTTTTGGGGGGGGAAACAGGTGTTGATATTAGATGTGCATTTATATATATAAATGTATTTGGCAATGAATTTTACACACCAAATGTTCAGTTACTTTAAAAGTATCACTTTCTACAAACACCAGAGTCGAATTTGTAACAGAAGATGTTGTTTTAAGAAGGAACAAAAGTTGGGCCCCCAGCAGATCTGAAAATGATAGCAACACTTTAAAATACCCCCAGTTGAGAAAAGTTACTTTTGCAAAAGTTCAACCTCACCTTTCTGGCAGTTTCAAATTCACAATCTTGAAATGGAAGAAACGTAGTGTGCAAGTGCAAAGACATATAACCAGGCAAAAAGACATGAAACAGGTGGAGCAAGTAAGAATAGTTCAGAACTGGTGACAGGATATTCCATCAGAGCAGTGTTTCTCAACCTTAGCAACTAAGATGTGTGGACTTCAACCCCCAGAATTCCCCGACCAGTCCACACATCTTAAAGTTGCTAAGGTTGAGAAACACTGCATCAGAGGAACAAATCTCGCTCCTCCAGCAATCCTCTACTCCATCTTTCATATTATAAATGAGGGTTCTCTGAACTTCAGGAAAAGAACCCCACCTGGGAAGTTAATTCTTCGTGCATTAATATTGGATACAAATCCAGACGTGTTTGAACCTCAGAGACCACAGGTGCAGAAGTGTATAAGAACATGCCAGTCAGATCTTATGACTGGTGAGCAGTATGAAGACTCTGGATCAGCTATATCTGAAATGAACATTAGTCTTTCCCATGTATTCTGTGAGTTGTATCCATGTTCTGGCTTGCCCTCTGGGTGAATAACCATGGGACCTTTAAAAAGAAAGTCCCCAGTTCTAGATAAACAGTGCTTCCAAGCAAAGATAAGTAATGTTCAGTCAATACTTCAATTCAGGACAGGAATCCCAATCTGAGAACATCCTTTTCTTTTTCTCCTTCAAAATGTCATATACTAACTGTGCAAAACTGCATCTTAGCATTGACAGCAGCAGTATTGTTCTCAGTTTCCAATGAGTTTCTTTGTGGCAAATGAACAGGGACAGATAAGCTCGTAATGACTCTAGAAACAGTGTGGCAGTGGTTAGCATCCACTGGGAAGAGAGGAGAGGAGAGATTTACTGATAACAGAGCTCAAAAATCAGAAAACAAGCCCTGTGTTGGCAGAACGGTGTTTTTTGAAAAAGCTGCTTATGCTGGCACTCTTCCCGGTGTCAAACTAGGCAAGCAAATCCTAACGTTAGGTGATGGAGCTGCCAACGGAAGTAACAAAAGCCGATGATAAAGCAAACACCGGTGTATGGATGGAGAGTGGAAAAATGCTAATCTGTGCCTACTTCTACTTTTTGCAGCTTCAAAATCAATTTGTTCAAAAGCTGGGAGGAAAAAAGAACAGTTTGCAAGAAGGCAAACAACTCAGGTTGTGCAATCCATCAATGTGGATGCCACTGTGAGATCTACATAGAGAAAGGTAGCCTTACCTCCCTTGCTGTTGAGGATGAAGGATATCCAGAAGAAGCTGCTTTACTTCACTAGGTGACAGCTGGTATAAATCCATAGGGGGCATCTCCCCAGCACGGATTTTCAGCTCATATTTCATGGCATGCACAATCCATCTGACAAATGAAAACATCAGTGAATTATTTAGAAACAGGGAATTACCTCCATCCATGTCAGGCCCAGCCCAAGAGCAACATGGAAAAGTCCAGTCAAGTTCAGTTCTTTTATTGCTTATACCATTTAGACAGAATCTTGCCAGACTAAATCTGTACTACTCTAACCTAGTGGATATACCCTGGGAAATCTAGGGGGTGGCTACCTTAAATCTCTTCCTCTTCCCATGCTCTTCCTCTGGACTGTGTTGCCTCTTCTCTCCACCCCCCCTCCTGCAGTGTGCTCCCTCCTTCCTGAGAACCTGGGGCTCTATTGCATTCCATCACAATCCATGCCAATAAACCAAAGGCAAAGGTATTAAAACATTAACAGCCTCAGTGTTCAAACTATGACCATCCTATCAACCTTTCTGTCTAGATGCAATGGTGGTGAAAACTTGAGCTTCTTGATTTCTTGAGATACTTTTCTGCTGCAGCCTTTCTAAGAATACCAAAGTATGGCCAATCCAGTAGGAAACTTGCTCCTACAGACAGGAAAGGACTATTTAGAACTGAAGCAGCATATATAATAAGTGTTAAATGATATCATGTGTGGATAAAGACAATACAGTATGTTTAAATGGTGATATGAGTGAAATTTTTCCCAAGTGATGTCATCTTATTACAAAAGAAGCTATGAAAAAAAATGTGGTATCCTATCAAAGTGCCATCTGGCTGAGAAGTGATCAGCCTAGATATGAATGGACACTTTTCTGCTCATGTTCTTCAACAACAGATATCAGGAGGCACCCTGTGAAATCAAACCTACTGATAACCTTGAGTTCTAAGACTGCAGCATCCACCAGTTTTCATTGGGTTGCAGGCAACACTGGGTTAAAAAGTACATAGATTTTAGAAATATATATTTAAGACGTGGTTCTATATAACCAGCCTGTTCTTCACAGAATTCCCAAACAGATTCTCTTGTGCCTCAAGACACAGTTAAGTCCTCAACAAGGTCCATGTAGATGACAACAGCTAGACAGCGTGAAATACATCCAGCCAGCCAACCTTAGCACAATTCTTAGGCTGGACTGCTTAGCAAGGTTATTCAAATTGCCCAGCTAATGTTAGTACCTGGCTACTGCCATTCAAATTAAATTTGTCCATTCAGTGGAGCTTACTAGAACCAGGTCATCTGACTTCTGCTTTAGCAAATAATCATTGAAATAAGGTTTGCTTACTGCTTAATTAGCTTGAATAGAATATTTGACAGAGAGATTGGGGGCAGAGACACTTCTGATGCTGTTATAGACATATTTATGCATCTTAGCACCATTATGAACCTGCTTCTTCTGGAATT